AGCCATGACTTCTCACTACCTGGAATTAATAAAAAGAGAGGRTTAGATTTGCATTATTTGACAGTAAATATGTTCTTCTTTACAATCTTAACAGTGTTCTCTCATTTCTCAGCACAAAAGGATGGGGCATAGACATATTCAATACATTCACTACCATCAACAAGCCATCTTCTTATTCTCGCTTCCTCTTTCAGGTCATGTACAGGATGATAGCAAGACTGCACTAACTGCTAGAAGGTATTTTCTGTAACTAGAAGGTGTCCTACAGCCAGTGATCCCATAACAAGAATCATCTACGTTCCACCTAGATTGCTAAACATTAGCGGATTCTCATCTCTCCTACTGACCCTGCAGATTTTGCTTGTTTTCCTTCAAAGAAACTGCCTGCAACCAGCAAGCTACAGCTCAGAAAGAAAGCAATTGTCTTGCAAGTACATTAACAGGAATTACACAGCCAAGATCAACATCCCCAACATATGATTTCACTTTGATGGGCATCAGAACTAAGAGACTCTTAAACAGAAGCAGATAATCTACCACCAGCTTAGAGTCATACCACACACACATCCACTTGTTATGGTCTAGACACACCAAGTGGGTGTTTTCATAGGCTTCTGTAAAAGCACATAATCTGCATTTTTTCAAAGCAAGACAGTGTCTTTGCAATTGGATTATCTACAGTCACATATCCTCTTCGCAAGGTGACATTCTTGCTTATGTATCAGACTGCACAGATGATTGAATGCCTCTAGAGCTGCAAAAAMCCCATGCTATCATACCAGAGGGGACATTTAATCAGCTTGGGTATCACCACATTAAACTGCTCACAACGTCAAGACTTAAAATACAAAACCACATGCTGGGTTGTAGCTGTGACATCTGCTCGGTTGATTTCAGTACATCCATAAGCCTCTTTACTGCTTAGAAAAGACTTAGGAAGTTCTAACTCTGCCAAGAAATCTTATTTTTTCACTTTGCACTTGATACTGTGCATCTTGTTGTGTCCAGAAACCTCCACATCCTGTCTGAAAAGATTATACAGCTATTTCAATGCAACCAAGTAACTTGGAAGCTTCTCTACAAAAGAGCAACAGGACTGAAGCAATGACTTAGCTTTAGGATCTAAAGACTGCTATTAGAAAGTCTATGAAAACACACTATGCCCAGTCAGACTTTTCACCCATCTGGCATTGACTGAAATGACTTCTTGACTTCAGTGAGGCTCCCTGTACCCAAGCCTGTGCACCTCTTTCCTCAAGATCTTGCAATTCAATTTGAGCTGAGGTACAACACAGCATCACAGCAATCACAGAAAAGGTGAAATAAGGAGGACAGAATTGTTAACAGGATCACRAAGTTATCATACAGTCATCACTGCACAGTCCTCACTGCTGCAATGCTCATGGTACTCCTTTTACCAGCCAGAACTTGACAGCTTCAGGCTTGACCATCAGTAGTCAGAACTTGAGAGGCACAAGAGCTCAACATTTGGGGGCAGAAGAATAAGTGTATGGACTTATGTCCTTTAACTCAGCCATATAAGAGTACTGAGGTATTCAGAACAGGCATTGCAAAAGGGAACAGAAAGCAAAGAACTAATCTGATAAGTAGACAGCAAAATAAAAGCTCTCAGAGGACACTGCTTCAGACCAGAGCACTCAAACACTCCAGAAAGAACCAACAAGGGAAGTCYGTAGTATCAGTAAAGGGGAAGAATGAACACGTAAGACAAAGCCTCATATCATTCAGACATGAGTTTTCAGATAAGCTGTTCTGCTCCACTCTGACCAGCCAGACAGAAGAGCACCAAACCACAGGGTGGAAGGATGCCCCAGAGCAGCAGCAGTCCCCTGCGARCACATTTGGTTCTTTCACTTCCCCCAGCTTAGAGCTGGCACTATTCAGACCTGCCTTTGTGCTCTTCCTGCCAAGAACAGGAGACATCTCCCTCATAACAACAAATCAAGCACAGCAAAGCAGCACAGATAGACCAACTTGCAGCCTCATACCTGCCCTCCCACATTGTCCTGTCACTACAGGAGAAAGAACATGTTATTTTACAGCTAAAGATCTGAAGAACTATTCAGGAAGGTTATCTTTAGGAAGCAGGATAGATATTGTTTAATTAGATATAATAAGCACTATTAGCATCCACCTGAAGATCACAGAAGCTGCAGAATTTGCAAGAGCAAAAGTAAAATGCAAAGCATATAAGGAAAAAAAATACATAAAATTCAGCCTGGAAGAGATACCCACACAGCTGCAATTATTCACTGTTTCAAATACAAAACCGAAGGGAATGTTTTTAACAGGTTCCACCTGAAGGAAGTATTTCTTCACATAGTTCTCAAATTTACTCAGAATTCACACAAACTCTTTCACACACTCACAAGAGTGACAAATTTATAGAAAACAAATCACTACTAAACAAGCACCAGCCAAGCAGCTGATCACTGGAACCATTTTTCCTTCTGTTCTTCCACTTTTTCCTAGGCTTCCCATTAGTCACCATGGACAATACCAGGCCGGGTCAATCTTCGTTAAGAACAACTGCACTGAGTCACCCCAAACCACCACTTACTCCAGGAAAGTCGAGCAGTTTTTCCASGGAGAAATATTATGAAAAACAAGTAACTCAAGCAGCAGAGTGAAAGGTCAGGGAAGTCAAATCCACAATCCAGCACTGGAGGTTGACTCCTCTAATGCCTTTGCTTTTGTCCTGCTCACCTCCATCCATATGGGGTTCTTTCCACATGGAAAAAGTTAGCAGCTACAGAAGAGTTTGAAGCCCCAACATTACCAGTTCAGAGCAGGAAAAAGTCAGACACCAGAGACATTTTGCTGCTTTTATTCTCAACCTACCTGTACCTCTCCAAAGCTTATTTGTTGGAACCTTCCTGAAGGAACAACTGCTTTCATGCAAATAAGCAGAAGTCAAGCCAAGCAGACCCAAGAGGCCAAGCTTACAGACAAATGTGAACCAAGACTAGACCTTGGATAATTCAAGTTAAAGACCTACCACACCAGAGACAAAAGCAGCCCAACAGCTGATTCTGATCTTGCAAAAACTTCACACCTCCTCAAACCACACAACCACTCACAGCTGTTGCTGGTTTCCCCCTGATTAAAGGGACAGCAGCTCCTTCTTCTGTCTAATGAGGGCATTGGGAAGGAGCCCAAGAATGTTCCCCATGAAAATAACTGTGTGTGGGGAGGAGAGGGAGAARAAAAAGAAAAAAGAAAAAAAGTACAACMTAAGTATCAACAGGTGTGCAGAACTGATCTTAAACAGGCCCGAAGCACTCCCCTATCCCTTACTTTGTTTTGCATAGTTCAAAGACTTCTAGCTATAGTTATTTACAGGAATTTAGACAGTTTGTTCTGCTTTTTACTCACTCAACACCTCTTCAGCACAGCACTTATCTCTCCAGGAACTATCAACAGTGGTTCTTCTACCAGGAAGGGCCTGCTGAGCAGCACAGTTCTGCAACAAGGATTATAAGAATGCACAACATTATAGCAAAGCAAGAAAAATTAATGGAATTTTGTCTGTTCAGAGCCCCCAAGGAAGTCTACAGTGCTCAGCCAGCCCAGCCACTAAACCAGAGGAAAAACAAACACAACTAAGCCTCTTGAGCAATCAGGTGACTGACAAGTATCCAGAAAGCAGCCTATTCGCATGGAAATGAAGGAACAGGACTGGCACAAAAGACGAGCTGTAAAACGAAAGGGAAAGCAGCATGCACACATCATCTGGGAAGCATCCGAGGTCTGCCATACAGCAGCTAACCTCAGAACTAAAGCCCACACAAGCACACTTGCTATGTACAAGCCCTCCTAAGAAACCTRACAGGCTTAACCATAAAAAAAATCTGCAGCATCCTGGAGAATAAAACCACACAGGTTCAGGCTTCAAGGAGACTTGTCCAGTTTCAGCCACAAAGACTCTAAGCACTGCAGACTGCCTATTATATTCAAGTGAAATGAGAAAACAGGACCTGCTTGTTGCTGTGCTGACTTTGCAGACCACAAACAAACACCTCGATGGCAGCTAAGATCCCTGGGGCAAGAAGTCAGCCCCAGGATGCCACCCCATCGGTAGTGCTGCCCTTGCTGTAAGGCTGGGGGATTCACCAGGACTTCTGTACCAAACCCCCAAACCTCAGCCCTCAGTGATGGAGCAAGTCACTGCTTTTACCCCCAAACACACACACGGGAAGCAGGGGGACCCCACGTTACTTTAACCCTGCAACGCGCTTACATGTTGCAACCGCGTGAGCTGCAAACAAAAAGGTCGTTTGAGCGCAGTGACTTCACCAGAAAGCAGCCAGGCTTCCCTTTAACCCTTCCCTGCCTTCTCTGAGGTGTTATTTCTTTTCTTACGCCCCAAAACACCCTAGAGGGGTAGGGGACACTCCAGCTGTAGGGCCACGCGCAGACTCGGGCACCCTCAGCCCACAAGGCGCACATTTCAGGGCCCTTTAGGAGGTATTTAGCGCCCTCCCCGCACGCGGCCTCCTCTGGTGGCTCCGCGGGGCCATCACTGGGAACACGGGTCACCAACCAACGCTAACCCCGCTCGCCCCCAGGCCCGTCACCCCCCCGGGGGGAGGGGGACACCACAGCTCTCCCGGGGGGTGACACGTAGCAACGGCCACAGGCAAAGCAGGGGGGGCTGCCAAGGCCTCGGAGCAACCCCCCCCCCCGCCTGTGGGCCCGGGCCTGGCCGCTCCCGGGAGGGCTCCGCGCCCCCCGCCGCGGCGGCTCTCCGAGGCCCCGGGGCCCGCC